TCTATTCGGCTGTGAAAGAAAGGGGAATGATTCTCTCGGTTGCTGTCTTCAACTTTATGCTATCGTCTTTGCAAAAGAAATCACTCCATAGAGAGGTTATTTTGGTGTGGAGGGATATGGTAAGAAATGGGGTAGTACCTAATGATTTTACTTATACAGTAGTCATTAGTTCTCTTGTCAAAGAAGGGCTGCATGTTGATGCTTTCGACACTTTTGATGAGATGAAGAATAGTGGATTTGTCCCTGAGGAATCAATTTATAACTCACTCATAAATTTAAGTGCTAAAAATGGAAACAGAGATCAAGTACAAAGACTGTATGACGAAATGAGGTTTCATGGAGTAGTTCCCAGTAATTACACTTGCGCTACACTTATATCTTTGTATTACAAATACGAGGATTACTCTAGAGTCCTCTCTCTCTTTTCTGAAATCGCAAGAAACAAAATTCCAGCTGATGAAGTCATATATGGTTGGCTTATAAGAGTTTATGGTAAGCTTGGTCTATACGAGGATGCTTACGAAACATTTGAAAAGGTAAAGCACCAAGGCCTACTCACCAATGAGAAGACATACTTGGCAATGGCACGAGTCCATCTTGCTTCAGGAAATGTCGACAAAGCTTTAGAAGTTATTGGACTCATGAAGTCTAGAAACCTACGGTTCTCTCGATTTGCTTATATTGTCCTGTTACAGTGTTATGTGACGAAAGAAAATGTAGTATCAGCTGAAGGAACATTTTTAGCTCTATGCAAGACAGAGCTGCCCGATGCCGGTTCTTGTAATTATATGCTTGGTCTGTATGTAGGACTTAATTTGATGAACAAGGCGAAGGAGTTTATCCTTCGAATAAGGAAGGACGGGACACAATTTGATGGGGCGCTTTACAGGACAGTCATGAAGGTTTATTGCAAGGAGGGAATGGTGCCGGAAGCTGAGCAGTTGACAAATCAAATGGTTAAGCATGAATCTCTCAAAAATTGTAAATTCTTCCAGACATTTTATTGGATTCTTTGTGAACATAAGGAGGATGTGCAAATTGATGATAAACTAGTCACCATGAAGTCCACTGACAAACTCGATACTACAGCTCTTGGGATGATGCTCCGTGTATATCTGACAAATAACAACTTCAGTAAGACAAAAATGTTACTGAAACTATTGCTGGGTTGTGCAGGGGGATCAAATATTGTTTGTCATATTATCATTAGTTTGACTAAAGACGGTATATCTCTACTTCGAAATTGATCGTGCCTCTTTCTGTGATATCTTTTTCTATTTTCAACCTTCTTTTTTTTTTTTTTCCAGGAGAAATCAGTAAAGCAGAATCACTCAACCATCAATTGATTACCCTTGGCTGCAGAATGGAAGAAGTCACTGCAGCTTCTTTAATTAGCCATTACGGGAAACAACATATGATCAAACAAGCTGAGGATATTTTTGCAGAATATGTAAATTCTCCAACGTATAGTACACTATTTTATAACTCTATGATTGATGCATATGCCAAATGCGGCAAACAAGACAAAGCATATTTGTTATATAAGCAAGCAACAGAGGAAGGACATGATTTAGGTGCTGTTGGTGTTAGCATTGCTGTAAATGCTTTGACAAATCAAGGTATGGCCACAGTTAACTAAACTAGCATCTGAATCATATATCAACCTGAAATGCAACACCTTGTCCTCTCACATAATTCTACCTATGAACTGGAATATGCTATAACAATTAACAACTCTTGAGTTATTATCTTTTACTATCTACAACTTTTTTATATGCAAATCTATAGCTTTTTTGGATTGGAAAAAGTCGTACAACAGTTGGGAAGTTTCTGGAACATCAATTATTTTTTGTTGGTTCTCTTTTCTGCATGCAGTTTCTTAGCATTTAACTGGTGATTTTATGCGTACTTATTAATCAGGAAAACATCAGGAGGCAGAAAATATCATCTCCCGGAGCCTTGAAGGAAAGTTAAAACTTGATACTGTTGCTTACAATACGTTTATCAAATCCATGCTTGAAGCAGGTTTGGTCTCAAGCTTTCTGCCTACATAGGAAAGATAAAGTTAAAACAGCAAGCTTACTAATACGGTTTATTTCGTGCTGTAGGAAAATTGCATTTTGCATCTAGTATTTTTGAGCTCATGTGTACCAATGGCATCACTCCATCAATTCAAACATATAACACTATGATAAGGTTATAACTTAAGCTGTCTTCTGCCATAAAAGTTTTGTATCTATTCTTTTGATTGCTAATTTCTTACCAATGTTAAACTCTATGCAGTGTCTATGGAAAATATCAAAAGTTGGACAGAGCTGTGGAGATGTTCAACAAAGCTTGCTCATTAGGCGTCCCTTTGGTTGAAAAAGCATATATGAATTTGATAGGCTATTTTGGCAAAGCTGGTAGTGGACCATTTTACTTATCAGATGAAATTTTGATAATTCTAGATGCAATTTTGCGCTTGAAAATTTCATTCTACCTGTTTTCTCGTGCATATTATTTTTTGTATCCAATATGATTTCCATGCAATGGAAAGTGAAAACATAATGTGATTAGCACATGATGATTGGTGATTAAGTTCATTTATTTTTCATGATTGGTGCTCTACTTAGTCGCAAGAAAGCTCATAATTACGTACTTTGTAGGTATGATACACGAAGCTTCACAGTTGTTTAGTAAAATGCAGGAAGAAGGAATTAAACCTGGAAAGGTAAAGTTGAAAATTTCTTAACTATATTTTCAAGACTAAATCATATACTTTGCAACTTTTATAGGTATTGTTGAATTAATTTTGGTTAAAAGCTTGAGTTATGTTACAGCCCAAAACAATGACATATTTCGCATTGAATTGCAAGGCATATTTTACGTTTGTGATTTTTAAATAATGACTGTTTTAGAGAATTAGAGCTAATTCTTTGCCTTTGCTGGGGATTTCAGATCAGCTATGACATTATGATATATGTATATGCAAATGCTGGAGTTCATCATGAAGTAGAGAAACTTTTCCAGGCCATGCAAAGACAAGGTTGTTTGCCCGATTCTTCCACCTATCTTTCACTAGTCCAAGCATATACAGAAAGCTTAAATTACTCCAAAGCTGAGGAAACCATATATGCTATGCAGAGCAAGGGCATTTCACCATCCCGTGCCCATTTTAATATTTTGGTCTCTGCATTCATAAAAGCCGGGATGATTGATGAAGCCAAGAGGGTATATGTGAGAATATCAACTTTCGGTTTAATTCCCGATCTCATATGTTGCCGAACAATTCTGAAAGGTTACCTGAAATATGGACGCGTGGAAGAAGGAATCAACTTTTTTGAAAGTATACACAAATCAACACAAGGGGACAGGTTCATCATGAGTGTAGCTGTACATTTATATAAATCCGCAGGAATGGAAAGCCAGGCTAATGAAATATTGTGTTCAATGAATAAGATGAGGATTCCTTTCCTCAAAAAACTTGAAGTGGGATCGGCCGAGAGAGTGTAAGTTAATTGAGATATAAACTACTTCAAAAATGCATGTATGCTTGAGAAGCAATATGGTAACAGAGAAGAGCTGGCAATGATCATCAAGCTTGTATATAACTTAATTGACAATGGTGATGATGGAACCCTGACTATAGCTCTACATTACTGCTGGAAACAATGATTGAACAGTTTGAACTCTTAGTTTAAAATGTACTTTTGCTGTTAATGACTGAGGACCCGGGCCACTTTCATTGTCCAGTGAATTCTGTGCATGACAAGAAAGTGTTTTTTCTACCTCCCAATTAAAGGAAGTTGAACCAAGGAGTAACTTGTGCAAACTATTATGATAAGAGTGTGTTTGGTGGGGTTACTTGCGAACATTTGGGGTGACTCTTTGACCCCATCTTTTTCTCTCAGGCACATGTATTCCCCCAATTTTTAAGTTTACACTTGCTTCAAATAATGTATAGAATCATAAATGAATTTGACTTGCAGATTATATCTGATTCTTGTTCTAAATTGTATGAATCGGCACTGGAATGTTAATATTACATTGTACCCTTTGTTCCGTTTGATTTGAGTGGGGACTGCAAGTGTTATGCAATAGAAAGTCCCTGTGCAGACCATAAGTTTATACACGTGTACGGATTTTTATATTCATTGAAAATTCCATATTCAATTACCACATTCAAGGTCAATTATCAGTTTCAATATAATACTTGATTTCTATGTTTTGAATAATCCAGTACAATTCGAAGATTAAGCTGCTGACAGACATGATTTTGAGAAGCAAGCTTGTGTCAGTTACATGCATAAATAATTAAATATACTCTCGGGTCATATTTCATTAAATACAATATTTTTATGTGATTCATCAGATTTTAATTTCATCTTAAAATTTGAGTTGAATCTAATTCAATCTATATAAATGACTGACGAGGACTGCCCATTCAAACTGTATCTACAAATTGCAGTTTTTGTTTTTGCATAACACTGCATTGGGATGCAAGAATTGTGAAGTGTGTGTCAAGCAAAAATGCATTTAACATATCAAGGTTTCTAAGGACTGTCATACTCTTTTTGCGCTGGTGCTGGGGTAATCCAGCAACTATATTTTGAGTAAAAGCTCAAATGGAGATCCATCCAAAAAAATGTGATTTATACTTTTCAATCCAGTTTGTATTAACATAGTTTATCAGATTATAACTAATTGACAAAAGATTCCTACTAGCAAAGATGATGAATAAAAACAAGGAAAAATCATTCCTTACCAAAGCCTTATATTAATCTGACTCAATAAATAACAGGAAAATCAAATCTTGTTGACTGATGATTAAAAGCATTGAATGAAGACTTAAGGTGAGAATGAAGACTAGAAGCATGACTCACATCACACAGATATGAACAAGGAACAGTTTTAGGACAGGGACTAGAAAAGGACCACTCATTAATTGCAATATCATGCTAGTGCTATTTTGCGAAGATGGGTACAAAACATAACATTGTCAGCTCCTAAGTCCTACTTTAAGCTTTACTATCCACAGCCATCGCCACGGGTTCCTGCTTTGCTTCTGCAGTTCTTGCTTGTTCTACTTTATTCATTTTCGCAAATATATTTCCGTAAAACTGTGCATCCTTCTTGCTATATTCTCTCACTTTTTCCTTCAATATTTTGTATTCAATCTTCACATCCCTGGAAACATCCACATAAAAAAGATTAATATAAAAGAATTTTTGAATTGGGGCAGTTTCTTCTGTTGTCCCTTCAGAACAAGGTACCTAATGTTTACATATATAACATGAGGACCATACACGAGATCAAGAGCGTACCTGTTATCTGGATCAATTTCAAGGGCTTTCTTAATATCTATTTCAGCCAAATCAAGTCAACAAGATGAACATATGCTTGTGCCCTACGATATAGTGCTTTTACATTTCTACTATCAAGCTCTAACACCTACGCGGTAAAACAAAACTCTCATAAGGTCAATCAATGGATTTCACTTCATTTCCTCTTGAATTTAACTAAAGAAAGATTTAAAAACAGCAGAAAATTTCATAAACTAACCTTGGTGCAAAACTTTTCTGTCTGTTTGTAGTCCTTGAGTTTCAGCTTACAGGCTGCGCTGTTAAGATTGCATGTAATTTTCAATGGTTTGGCCTGCTGTTTCTCCTCATCACTAAAGGTGGAATCATACTCAATATACTTCATGGCCTATCACACAGGAAAATATAAAGAAATCATGTATAATTAACTCACTTTTTACCACAGCATATCTTATTTACAAAGTAGCTTGGGGTCTTTCTGTTTTGGCAAGTGTACCTTTTCATATCTCTTTGATGCTCTTTCATATTTACCAGCTTTGAATAATGCATTACCTTCTTCCTTTTTCTCTACAGCTGCCTCAATCTTCTCTTGAGTATTCATATCCCAAGATTCCTTTTCCTGCACCCCGGTGTTTTAGTAATCTAAGTATATCGCCCAACTTCAGCAAAATAAGAAAACCTGAAGAAAATTAAGGCATGATTTCTCACCTTTACAAAGGAAACCAGCTCAACTGCATAGTAAACAATGGAATTAGGAGGAACAGTAGCCAATTCCTGAGGGGAGGCAGATGAACCAAAAGCATACTCGGGCTGTATGACCACCAATGCAACTTCACAGCTCTATCAAGTCCATGAATTACTTGCTCTACAAGGTGTATGAAAGATACCGATTAGGATTATTTATGTAGCTTATTTAAGGGGGTTTACTGTAGTAGCTATTTTAAGAATAAATTGTTTAAGAGTACCTTCATTAATTTTGAACTCAAATGGTTGATCATCATCATGACCCTTCTTAAGAAAGACGGTTCCGTCTTGTAGCTTGCCGATAAGTTTCACTGAATCAATTCAATATAAAATACAAGGAAACAAAGAAAACAAACTTTGAAAAGCTCTTATTAGCAAAACTGTACCTTGAACCACAGCTCCATCATTTGGCCGTTCATATCCATCTCCTTCCTTCAAGATCTTCTTAAGGACCTTCCCATCCTTAGTAATGTCAGATATGGTCTAAAATGCACCTCGTACATGTTTTTGTTGCAAAAACAAGTAATATAGTTTTTAACTATATTTGATAATGGCTTATTAGTTTGCAAACTTTGATGATGCATAGAACAAAATGGATATATAGAAGAGAGCTAGGTAGGAATGAAATGCTACCATCAAAATCTATATCTCATATCAATTGGAAAGGAGGTAAACCATAAGCACCAACAAAGTTGTAATCCCTAAATTGCCTAAAAATTCATGTAAAGATGAGAGCAAAATAGAGCAATAACAGATCTTTACCCTGCTATATGATGCCCCTTGTAAGCTATCAATAACGCCTCTGTATTTTCTTTAAACTTTGATATATACTTGCCCAAAAACATCTCCTCGGACAAGCATAACACATAAACAAAGCTGGGAACCTTACATAGATTATGTGATTTCAAAAGCTGAAAAACTCTATATCGAGGAAACACTCGATCCTCAATGCTATACATCAAAATCACAGGCTGGTTAGCCAATGCCGACTTTGGCAGCATAACTGTATGTAAGAAGAATTCAATTCCCACCTTTAATTTTTTGTCTGATACCCTAAATAAAGCGGGATACTTTTTGAACATTTGCAAGGTTTCATCTTTAGAAAACCCAAAACTCTGAATTAAATCGAGCTTTCTCTTAAATGTTTCCTTCCTCAAACCACTTATGGTATGAAGGGCGTGAATCAACATTCTTGAATTTTGATGGAAACCCAATTCCACAGCTTGCAAAACATAGTTTCTAATAGCAGATTGTGATAAACACAAAAGTCTCGATTGTCGTTTGAGTAGAATCAAAACCTGATTCCCAACAATGCCACAGCTCTCTAAGAAAGCAATGTTGGAAACAAATAGTTGGTACTTTGGGAGTATCTGACCACATTTGCACAAAACATGAATAAGATCTTTCTCATTGCGCACAATTTTCTTGATAGCTTCCACCGAAGGAACCAATGTTTTGTTCAAACTAGCAGTCAAAATGGTTGGATACTTAGAAATAAACCCGCTTAAATCAGAACCCTGAAAACCCAGTTGTTGAAAGAGGTCAAGTTTAGGTCTGAGAGTTTTATCAACATCTGAAAACAGTATTTGAACTCTCTGACGAATGATAGTTTGAATCTGAATTTGAGAAAATCCAATTTGTTTGAAAAAGTTGATTACAGACAAGGGGTGGTTTCGAGGGAAGGTGGTTCCTGAAAGACGCTTAGAGATGAAAACGGATTGAGGTTTAGATAATTTGAAGTTGGAATTAAGGAAGTCAAATAGAAAAGTGGCTTCTTTAGAGTGATGGTATTTTGGGGTTGATGAAGAAGCAGTAGAAAATGAAAGGAGAAAAGATTGAAGTGGGTTAGAAGAGAAAGGAGGATAAAAAACAAGAGGGCGTAACTTGAGAGATTGCATTGCATTAGGGTTTCAATTTAACAATCACGTTGCTCGACGCAGGTTGTGAACCAGATGAAGTGGCTTGTGGTACCATGCTCTGTTCTTATGCGAGATGGGGGCGCCATAAGTCCATGTTATCTTTCTATTCGGCTGTGAAAGAAAGGGGAATATGGTAAGAAATGGGGTAGTACCTAATGATTTTACTTATACAGTAGTCATTAGTTCTCTTGTCAAAGAAGGGCTGCACGTTGATGCTTTTGACACTTTTGATAAGACGAAGAATAGTGGATTTATCATTTAATTTTTAAAATCTTGAAATCCTATTCAAATCTTCATTTCTTGTGTTTTATTGAACCTTCAATTGAGATGTTTTATTGAACCTTCAACTGAGATATCATCAGAGTGGATGGTACATTTCACATGAGATGCTGAAACATGATCGTACACATTCTTGAAAGGATGAAAGAGTTCACTAAATTGAACGACATTGAATGAGAAGCAAATAAGGAAAGGTCGAAGATTGAGTCACCAATAGATTTAAGTAGTAATTCAACTTTTGATTCGTTTTAGTTGCAACCTAACAATGTAACACATTATTTTATAAGTGTAATACAGTGGGAGAACTGACTTTGGTGTTTTGTGTTTTATCGCAATTGTTGCGGATAGTAAGAGTCGCCACCGACTTTTCTTTTATCCAATAAGGGAAAGAGTGAAAAGAACAGGAAAACCCTTTTGAGATTTTTTTTTGAGTTCGGGGGGTATGTTATGAAAAGAGAATGTATTAGCACCCTTTTCATCCGTAGTTATCTACGGGCTCTTAGTTGCTAGCTCACTTTGAAATGTGTTTGTGATTGGTTTTGAAAGTATTTTTGAAAAAGTGTCATCGTTTAAGCGAACTTTGTAATGATTCTCGTCTCTATAAGAATGTATACAAAGTGTTGACTTTTGAAAATATTTCGTTTTGAAAGTGTTGGTGTGTTTTGAAAGATATTATTTTGAGAATGTTGTGAGCAAACAACTATGAATGTTACCTACTCAAAAGGGTTTTTAGTTCTTTTTCTCCCCCTTTAGATATTGCTATCTTACCATTGATTGATAAGAAGCCCTATCATTGGATGCAAAGGGACAGGCGCGGGTCGTCGTATAGTCATAGAAGGCAACCTATGAGACGCTTTAGCAATTGTCTTGAGGGACTAAGATCATTTTACCGAAGGCAACATCGAAGGGTCATCGAGAGACGACGATCTTTTTTATCGAGGATCTTTGCTAAAGCGTCCCACATTCGAGAGACATGACTATTTATTCGTGGGCAACAAGCAAGATTGTCCTAGAGGTGCGCATGCAAAAAGTATGTTTGATTGCATGCATTTTTGTCTTTGAGATTAGGGTTTTCTAACAGTTGATTTTATCTTGCCATACACACTCTAATTACTAACAATTATATTAAAGCGATAAATTGCGAAAATTAAAATCCTACGCTATTACATCACTTGGGGAATGGGGGTATAATTTTTAAATGGGGATGAAATACAAGCCTAATTAAATTATTATAACCATATTGAATAAATGAATAAAAATAAAAAAATATAAAAAGGAAAATAGTGTACAAAGAAAGAAAGTCAAACTTTATGTATTGACACATATCTTCATGCATCGATACATGTCACTGCTTGTTTCTGAAAAAACAAAATCAACTCAGTATGAGTCGATACATAATGGTACGTGTCGACTCATTTCTTGTTTGTATTGACACATATGTGTTTTGTGTCGACTCATGCACCTTTTGTCTCTCTGTATTGTGTCTGGATAACAGTATACATTGATGCATAAGGCTTTGTGTCTACTCATGCCCTGTTCTGCAACTTATATGATTCGACTCATGCGTGTTTTTTGTCGACCCATAACATGTTTTACACTAAAATGAGTCGACTCATGTGAGTATGCTTCGACTCATGCTGCATTTTTTTGCCTTTAACATTGTTCTATTGTGTGTATAGGTCAGTTCTCAACATATGATCGACAAAAATGAAAAGCAAGCAAATGGTTAGCTTCAAGGGCAATGATTACTATATTCTATCTTCGCAAGTGAACCAATAATGATGCGTGTATGAAAAAAATTTGAAGTCAAGAAGACTTACCTTGACACTGTAATTTGTGCTTTGAATCTGGATACCTTTCAAGATGTTGTGATGATCAGAATGATTTCAGTGAACCTCTAGGAAGTTGCTCCAACCCTTATTTTATGTTTAAAGTCGTTGACCCAACTCCAACCCAGTCAAGTTGTACAATATTATCCTTTTTTGTGTTTAGAAGGTGATGATAATGGCACTACAAAAACTATTCTTGTGTTTGAACAATTTCTATATGATGTGAAGTGTTTGGATAGTTGGTTTATGAGAAAGCTTGCAAGATGGAATAATGGGTTGAGGTTTTGTTTTTATGAATGAAGATAGAGTTGAATATGAGCAAAGGTTACAAAAAATTTGTTGGATTTTTTAGATTTCTTTCTCTTTCTCTTTCAAACAAACAAACACTTTTTTCTCCAAAAAAAACTCTTCTCTCCCCCCTTTTGTGTGTTGTGAAACAGCTTATTTATAGATGAAATGGACTGAAATTTGGAAGGGAAATAGATGAATTTTTGAACTATTTGAGTATACTGTTTCATTGCTTTTTAGATTCAGCTCTTATGTGCTAATTTTTTGCAAATATGGAACTGATATAGTGCAGGCTTGGACTGGGTTAGAGGCAGCATAACAGGACTATTTTGTAGCAGTTTTGGAGTGGAATGGTAGCTTGGTGCAGGGTTGGCTTTGTACAGGACAATGGACTATTTTTTAACATGGTTTTGGGCTAGTAGCAGCAGGTTTGGTCTTGGCAGCATATCTGTTTTTGAGCTTTTCTGGACAACAACATTTGTAGTATGATATAAGTCTGGTTTTGTGGACAAATTTATGCAGCTTGTAACAAAGACAAGGCATATTTGTGGATAGCATAGTGGCAAAGTTTGAAGATTGAGTCAAAGGGAAAAATTCAAACAAGACAAAGTTTAGGATTTGTAACTTACAATTTTTAATTTAAAAATGCAGCTTTGTTGTTTACTTGAAAGCTTGTAACAACTTGAATTGTCTTAAATTGTGGTTAAAAGATGTCATGAAATGAAATTAGCATGTATAGAAAAACACTTAGAAAAATTTCCAAGTCTTGCAAAGTTTGATTTTTGATTTTCTTGATCTCTTGATGGTCAAATTTCGTATTTTGAATGTCTTGACGAAATATGATCTTTGAAACTCAAATTTGATTTAAAAAAGTCAAAGTTTGACTTTTCAATGTATAATTGACTTTTCAGTGTATAATTGATTTTTTCATCAGTTGACCAAATTTCAAATATCAACCCACTGATCCCGGGAGATGAGTTGAAATATGAGATTAAGTCAAAATGATGTACTTGAACCCTTGAGGTCATGTTTCAAACCAATAAATCATGTACTGGATTAAAAGTCAAAGATTGGTCACTCTCATTCAAAATCCTAATTTGGAGTCTCAGTGTTTCGAAGATGATTTTGTCTGATCAATTCCTTGAGAATCCTTGAGCATTGGAGATCCTTCGTGAGGAATGTCTTAAAAAAGAGAGGGAAAATTTTGGGGTACAACATCTGCCCCTGTTCAATCTTCTTAAACCTGGAGAATTAGATTGGCGGGTCCGCCATTTGTGACTTAAAGGTAGAAGATGATTGAACACTAGAGTACCCAGAAATTTGCACTTGATGATGTGTTAGTTGATTGTGTCAGGAATGGGCT